AGGCACAGGGAATAGCTCAAGTAAAAGCCTGGAGGCTGGAGGATCCAGTGGTGTTTCTAGTATGAGATGGAGAACATAGAATATGATATAGAGGGTTGGATAGGGAGTAACCCATCTTAATTGGGCTTAGAGTGGGTGGAGGAGAATAGGGGAAGTTGAGGCAGGAAAGATAAACTGGTGCCAGAATGTGAGGAGCCTTGAATGTGTGGACTAATTTTGATGAGACTGCCTGGTACAATAGCTAAACTACCAGGCATGGAGTTAAGAAGAGTCAGGTTCAAAATTCTCCTAAAACAATGAGTAGCGAGGTGATCCTGGATGAGTCAGTTAACCTCTTTTGGCCCCATTTTCCATATCTGTAAAATGGGGTAATAACACCCACTTCCCAGGATTGCTGTGAGGACCCAATGAGATGTTACATGTAGAACCCTTTGAAAACCTCAGAGCCCTCTGTAAATATTGGCCATTATGATTCCTCCAAGGACAAGGGCAAGTCACTGGGGTTCTCAGCAGATGATCTGAGAGGTCATTTTAGCACAATGTGCTCATCTTACTGATGAGGAAACTGAGGCCCAGAGAGATGAAACAATGTATCTGAAGACAGAACGTGGGTAAATAGCAGAGCCTGGACTCTAGCCCATGTCTCCAATGTCCACGATTGGTGTTCAGGACTAAGTCAGCCCTTCCTCTCTAGGAAAGGTCCTGTGTGGAGCCAACTGTCCCAGTGCATCTGAAGGAGGATTCATTTTCAAACTTGATTTTTGTAGAAATTGATTGGGCAAAGGGAGCCATGTCTTTGTACACTTATGCCACATCCCTATCCCAGGAAGTATTCACACTCAAGAAAACAACCAGCATCTGGCATGTTGAACCTCAATTTCCCCTGATTTTCTGTTCACTCATATAGCCACCAGAGGGCAGCACAGAGACACAAGGAACCAGAGACGTCTATAATTACAGAGGGAAAGGAACCAAACCCTAGGTCAGTATGTCTCCCCACTGCAATATTTGTCCAGGCTCTGCTTGAATATTTCCAGTGATAGGGAACTCACCGCTTCATGAAACAACTCAATCCATGCTGGACAGCTGATTGTTGGGAAGTTTGTGCTGAGCTGAAATCACTAGAATTCCCTAGAGCTTTGCCCTTAGTTTTCCATCCTGGGGCCAGACAGAACCAGTCTGATTGCCTTTGCCCCAGGACTGTCCTTCAGATATTTGCAGATGTGACCGTGACACCCTCCAACCTAGTTTCTCCAATATTTCAGTGGTTCAATGGCCGATTTCATGCCCCCTCCCATTCTGGTCACGTCCTCTGGATGATGCCTCACTCTTTCTTTAAATAGGAAGCCTGTCTGGACACAGAACTCCACTGAGGTATGAACAGAATGAAGGAGATTCATGACCTCCTTCCCACTGGACTGTGAACACCCCCAGCAGCAGCCTGAGGTCCTCCATGAAGTCATGGGGAGGTGGCCCAGGGTCCTAGTTGGTTACACCAGCAAAGCTCAGTCCAAGAGGATCTAACAGGTGGGAAAGATTATGGCCCCAGGGACAGACTGTGTGTCTGTTGTGTGAGGACCAGCCCAGCTAAATCAGAGCCACTTAGCACAGGGTAATCACAGACAGAGAGACCTCTCAATCGTAGCCAGAAATGCTCAGACAATTAGACAAGGAATAGAGAGAGGACTGGAAATCTCCATTAGTGGAGAGATTTTCCACACTAAGGAAGTTATGAATCCATAAAGTATTGAAGCAAGATGAGATTAATTTTTTTGGCTGCCTCATCACAAAATATTGACTTGTGCTGAGCTTGCAGTTCAATCAATAAGCATTTAATAGGCACTGCTTCATCCCAAGCATTGTGCTCAGGACCCCAATTTCTACCTGATTTTCTGCCTAATAACCTCTCTGCCATACTGATTGGGGCTGGGAAGCCTCTCCCAGGAGGGCAGCTCCTCAGGGACCAGGCTCTCAGGCTTAAGTGGGAGATACCATCCCCAGAGCAACTCAAAGAATATGGAACTTTGCTTCTAAGACCCTTCACCCTAATTGCCAGCTCCTCCAGCTGGAGAGCTTTGCTGTTGGCTGGCCCAGGTGACTGAGAAGGGTCATTAGTGAGGATGGGCCTCAATTCCTATAAGCAATGAAGAACAGAAGGGTCAGCTCCAGGGAATCTCAGAGACCCAGAGTTAGAAGAGGGCTGTCTATCCCACCTGCAGACTCCCAGTGGTGATGGGAAATATACTTCTTCCTGGTGCAGCTCATGCCAGTTTAATTGGATGAAATAAATCTAATTGTCTCAGTCTCTGAATTTGGTGATGTTTAGGTATCAAAGGGAAGGTGGGTTCTAATAATCTCTCCCAGGATATCTATCATCAATGACAACCAAGAGCAGGAAAAGACATAGTCCCATCCAATAGTCAAGAACAAGTCATGACCTAGGGAATAAGAAATGGGCCCCTGTGGTTCCTGTTGGCTTCCCGGGCCAAGAATGACCCATGTCTGTTGAGTTAGATGTCCAGGGTTCCTGGTCTCAGTCTAGAGCAGAGTCAAGAGCATCAGGCAAGCCCCAAATGAACTCAAAGCCTTCGTGGGTGAGGATGGGAGTCAATATTTGCCCAGCTATGATCAGACACAAATCCTACTTCCTGGGGGATGCTTGGCCCCAAGAATCTGTCTCTTGCTGTCATTTTCCTTGGTTCCTCCAGGTGGCACTAGCAGGACATAAATGGCTCTGTCCCATTATCCCATTCACCAGGTCCCCCAGGGAGACGGAGGAAGGAGTTCTCTCTATCCAACACCAGACCTCCCTCTAAGGGCAGCTGACCCTCAGTGGATCTAACGGCACCTGAGCCTCCCTAGGGCAATGGACAAAGCCCTTGCGAAGTGGGCCTGAGCTTCCTAGAGGGATCAGGGAATACACAGGGATGGAGGCTTAGACTCACAGAGTGGATGGAAGAGGAGAGGGGCTCACCACAAAGGTACCCTCAATGACCCTACAACACAGGGCTCTGTAGTCCCAAGACCCAAAGGCCATGTCCAACCAGGACATCCCTTAGAAACCTTCTATAGAGGTGGAACAAGGAGCTGTGTTCTCCCCCAGAGTTACACATTTCAAGAGTCCCCTGGGCTGTGCCTGAGGCAGAGGAAAGCAGAATGCTGGATTCTGGGTCAGAAGGCTTGCATTTCCTTCCCACCTTTTCTGTCACGATGGACAGGTCACTACCCTCCTAGAATTTCTTTCTTCCATTGTCAAATCCATGATCTTGTGATTTCATCTTCCCTAAGCGGGGGAGGAGATGTCATTGTGTCTGGCCCCTTGACCCAGAATTCCTCTTTCTGTCATCCAAAACTCACTGATCTCTAGCCCTTGGCTTAACGTACTGAATCTTGGATGCCTGGTTCCCACTTGTTCCCTGTGCAACCAAGGGCTAGTCACTTGACCACTCTGAGTATCAGTGTCCTCCTCTTCAACAGAGGGAAATATTGGCTGACTTTGCAGACTCACATGGCTGTTTGACCATAGCTCACCTTTAACTGCTTTAGACAAATGGTCATTTTCCTGAGTGTTTCTTCCCTTACTGGGCCACAAGCTCCAGAAGGGGATAGGAGGATAGGACTTCTGCTCCTGTTCTTCTCAGTACTGAACTCGGACCATGTCTGGGCTTAATATTTGAGGGAATCCTGTGAGCTGACCTCTCCCTCCTCCTTGTCTCCCCTGGCTTCCTTCAAGGCCCAGCCAAAATCCCACCTTCCAGGATAAGTCTTTCCTGACCCCCCTCTCCACCCTTTAATGCTAACACCTTCCCTCTGAGATGTTCTCCAATTTGTCCTCAATTGATCTTATTGGTAGCCATGTGGTCTCTTCCACTGGACTGGGAGAAACTTTCACCTTTCTTTGCATCCCCAGAGTTTAACACAGTGCCAGGTACTTAGGAAGGGCTTACAAAGTGTTTACCAACTGACTAAGGTAAGCAAAGGTCCCTTGAGTCCCCACCCCTCCTCTGATCTCTACACTTCCATCTCAGCACCATTCCTGGCTTTTTAGCTCCAGGTCCTGTGCCCTCACCACTCCCTCCTCCCAAAGGTGACTGGCCATCCTCCTTTACTGTGCTAAAGCCTTTACAAATATGGTCTTATTTGATCCTCTCAGCAAGCCTGGGAGATCAGTACTAGTATTATCATTCCCATTGCACAGTTGAAGAAAATGAGGCAGATAGAGTTTAAGTTGCCCAAGGTCACAAAACTAGGTGTCTAAGGCTAGATTTGAAGTCCCCTCCTCTTGGCTCCGGACCCAGACCTCTCTTAATTGAACCACTCATCAAGTGGGGTTGGGGAGGGAGCATTGATGGGAGTGTGGAAGGGGTGTGGGGAGAGGAAGATGCCCCCTATGTACTCCCACTCTGGGGGAGGCTCCTCTGGTCTGTATAATCTTTATTCCCACTCCCCAGCCCTGTTGCACCCTCCCAGCAGCCACAGTGAAATGCCTGAGGAAGGGCAAAGGCACTCTGGGTTGGCTTGAGAGGGGAGGGAGACTCAGCAGTCTGGGTCCTAAAGGCCCCAAATAGGGATCCAAGCACATTCATTGCCTCTGCCCACCATTCTCTGTGTGCATTCTGGGGTCTGAACAGTCTCTACTCTGGAAGGGAAATAAGCAAAGGGGTCAGGTGTCAGCACAACTGGACAGTAGGTAACACTGAGTGACCCTTGTTCCCCTTGAGGACAGAACCACTTCTCCATGGACAGTGGGAGGGATCTGTGCAGGGGAGGGGCTCCCTGGGAGAGGCAGGAAACCGCAGCAGCTGGGAGGGGAAGAAAGAGGAGGAAAGGGGAGGGAGGAGAAAGTCAGGGGCCAAGTCCCTGCCCTGTGGGGCCCATGTGACTGGCAGATAGAAGAGCTCCAGCCCTGAAGAGAGAGACCTCAGTCCTCTAGGGAAGGAGGAGACAGAACCGACACGGCTTTGGGCTGCACACAGAGACAGCCTTGAACGTGGTCCCCAGCAGGGACACCTCCAGGGTCTGCACTTGGCCTCTCTACCGAGAAGACACAGCTCAGGAGGGGAAGGCAGTGGACAGCACAGACCTATGGAGAGCCCCTCACAAGCTCCCCACAGTGGGAGCAGCCTCTGGAAGGGGTTCCTGCTCACAGGTGAGACACCAGCTCTGCTGGGGCTGGGGAAGAGAGGGAGCTTGGGGGATTCAGACTCGGATATAGGCAAGTGAATGAACATAAGAACAGGAGGAAGGAGACTTGTCCCGTTGGGGGTGGGGGAATGGGGTCTGTCCCAGAGACAGTCTCTGCAGACTTGGCCAGGCCAGTCTTCCCTGAGCCAGGATCAGAGGGGGAAGTAGCCGCTCAGAGCCATCAGTCCACATCCTGGAGACTCAGGGCAACGTCCGTTCCTGGAGCTGAGCAATGTCTGAAGAGGCTAAGGGAGTCGTTACAGGCAGAGGAGACCTGAGTGTGGATCCCAGCTCTGATGTTTACCAACTGTGTGACCGTGGACAGGTCACTTACCCCTCTTAGCTTCTGTTTGCCTGGAGCACCACCTTCCTTGCAAAACTGTTTGGGAGCTAAACTCTGTCAGCCATAAAATTCACCCAAGGTTAAGTGAGAAAGGCTCTCCCTGGGTTTGGGGTCAAAAGATCTGGGTTCAAATGCTGCCTTTGCCATTTCCTATTCAATTTTGGTCACATGTGTTGCCGTATCTGGGCCTCAATTTCCTTCATTGTAAATTAAGGGTATTTGACTCAGGGATCTCTAAGATTCTGTCTAGGGCTAAAATCTGATTTCTGTCTTCAACCACAACACTTTATTGCTTCATTTCTCCCTTCAATGTCTTGCCTACCACACCGGCACATCATTTCTTAATCAAGTCTATGGAGGGAGCCAAAATTTGTTATAAACCAAACTTTCAGATCCTCTGCAGAGACTGGGACTGACAGACTGATGTGCAGGAACATGAATCCCCTTCATACATACCCCACTGAGCCCCCAGCAGACACTGAGGCAGGCTTAGCAACTCTCACCCTTATCTTGGGGACAGCTCAGTGACCTGGGCCCTCAGGAGAGCAGGGGGACCCTACTGACCTCTGCCTCCTTCCTCCCCTCTCAGCCTCCATCCTCAGCTGCTGGATCCAGCCAACATCTGCCCAAAGTGATTCCTTCAGTGTTGTGCCAAACCCTCCATATGGGACAGTGGGCAGCAGCGTCATCCTGGACATCCAGGGGCTCTCACAGCAGCCTCCCAGCTATACTTGGTACAGAAAGGCAGTAATCCCCTCCAACCGGATCGCTTTCTACCATGTTGCTAACGGACAGCTGACAGCATCAGATAGCAGGCTGAATGTGTCCTCCAATGGCTCCCTGAGCATCTCCAACCTCACTCTCAGTGACACTGATGACTACTTCGTACAATTGTTTGATCCCACAAGTAGTGAAATAGTAACAGCACAAGGACATTTAGCCGTCTATGGTAAGTGCTGCCTTTCCCATGGGCCGTGCCATCACTCCAATACCCTCCCTCATTCTGGGGCCAGAGCCCTTCCCTAAGTTCCTTACCCAGGGAGCAGGTAGAATGCAGAACATAATCCACCCCCTAATAGAGGAAACTAAAGAGGTGAGAACCTCCCCAAACCCAGACTGGCCTAGTTAAGGGTCACAGAGAGCACAGGAGAGTTCAGAGGTCCCTAGCTACTGAGGCCCTAGGCACTTAGTATTTGGAAGTTGACTTCCTTCTTCCTCCCAACTTTCCCAGGCCATACTGTGAAACTAGGAGGGACCACTGAAGGCTTTGGAGGGGGCACTTGGCCCCCTCCAGTGGCTGAGGCAGTTAACCTGTTCAGGAAGTTTACCTACCTCAAGACATTTAAAAATCCATGAGGCAGAGGAACATTGCTGGGGGGGAAGGCCCAGCAGAGCTCAAGTCCAGACCACCCACTCCCCAAGAGCCAGAAGTCTGGCTGCCTGGGTGCCTGGGACCACCTGGATGCCTGTGCTTTCTGAGGCTCTCAGTGCTGGGGTGGGGGTTGGAGGACCCCCAGAGGGAGGATACCTGTATTTCCTCCATTTTCTAGAGGAAAGTCCAAGACAAAGGGGCCCAGGCTGCACTGAAGGGACAGCCTGGGACAGAGGGTCACAGCTCTGCTGAGGTCTCATCTGGATGGGGAGAAGACAAATTCAATATGAGGAGCAAACAGACCATCTGGACCTCCCAACTGGGGCAACTTTCCCAACCAGGAGAGATTTCCAGTTGGGCAATGGCTAACAAGAACTATCATTTATATAGTGCCTGGAGGTGTGCAAGGTGCTCTATGTATCATATTTCATTTGATTCTCTGAAAGACCCTGTGACATAGGTGCCATTTTAATAAATGAGGAAAATGATCCGAAGAGAGATTGAGTGACATGGCCAGAGTCACACAGCTAGTCAGTAGCTGGGGCAGGATTCGATTTCAGGCCTTCCTGACCCCCGTGTCCCACATTGCATCCACTGCACACCCTAGATGCCTCCCACCACGGAGGATTACCTCAGGGGAGAGTGACCTCCCCAGCACTGGGAATCTTCAACAGAGATTAGATGGCCATTTGCTAGGGATGGTGGACTTGGGGTCCCTCATCAAGCCTGGGTTGGCCAAGATGACCCTGAGGCCCAGAAGCAAAGCTAGTTCTAAGGTTATATGGTCGGGGATGGGGATTGGCGGGGGCAATGCCAGGGAACAGCCCAGAATTTCCAGGGCTTTCTTCCATGGTGTGCCTTCTGGAAATTGCTCTAGGCATCTGTCTGTGGCAGGATGCATTCAAAGTTTTCAACGTGAGAGGCAGGAGCCCTTCTGCTGTTAGGAGAGGGCCCTTCTGGTCATCCCTCAGCTCCTGGGCAGAGGATATTGTGAGAGGAAGGACCTAGGAATCGTCAATCCATTGACTGACAACCATTTGTTAGGCACCAGCTACATGTATAAGCACTAGGCTGGGTACAGGGCATAAAAAGCCAAAAAGAAGTGAGTCACTACCCTCAAGGAGCATGCATTTTATTGAGGAGAGATGTAAACATGTATGTGGAATAAATATGAGAAGAATAGGAAACAGTCCAAGACTGATGATTTCCTGGGCAGAGGCAATTCCTAGAGGAGGCAACCCCTCCACCAATGCAGGCTGGCTCCTTCTCCTCAAATCCTGGTCTTGCACAGTTCTCCTGGGCACTAAGAGGCAAAGTGGCTTGCCTAGTGTTAAGGAGCTGGTATGTGTCTGAGGCAGAACTAGCACCCAGGTCCTCTTGGCTCCCAGGCAGACCCTCCAGTTAAATACAAGGTCATTAGGATGGAGGGCACTAGCAGATGATAGCATCAGGAAAGGCTTCCTGGGCGAGGTCCTGTTAGAGGGGCCATATTGAAGGAAGAGAGGGGGAGGGCAGGGGGAGAGCATCCCAGGCTGGGTGGGGGTAGGAGGACATGGCTCCCCTCCTCAGCACAGGACACTGCAGTGGGTGGGACCTGGGAAGGAAGCTCAGCCCACTGGACTCTCTGAGGAGGCTGGGAAGAAAGAGGGCACCAAGAGGACCCAGGGATAGGAGGTAAGACAAGGAACTCGTGTGGGGCCAACACTGCCTCAGTTCCCCTGCAGAGTCTTCTCAGACCTGGAGGCAATAGAAGATTGGGCCCCTCACCAGACACAAGGGGAGCTGGGCTCTCCCAGGCTTTCAGCTTCTGCTAGAGGGGCAGGGTCAAGGAAAGAAGAGAGCTCTAGACTTGGGATCAGGAGGTCTGGATTCAAATCCTAGCTTCAGCAGTCACTGTGTGATCCCAGGGGAGTCACCTCAGCTCTGTGACTCTCCATTGCCTCGTCTGTAAAATGGGGGTACTAATCTCAGCATTCCCTGCTTCTCTGGCTGTCCTGAGGAAAGACCCTTCAAGTGCAATAGAGATGGGAATCACTGCTCCTCCTCCGAAGCTCCATTAGCTGCTCCTCCCACTCAATCCCAGCCAATAAGTGAATTGGGCAGCTCGGTGGCCCAGTGCTGGACCTAGGACAAAGGACTCTAAGATAATTTGAGGAGGGGGCTTTCATCAGGGGCAGGGGACATGAGGAAAGGCTTCTTGGGGGAGGTGGAAAGTGAGCTGAGCCTGGCAGGAAGAGGGTTTCTGCAGGGATCCTCCTGTGTAGATGTATGGAGGGGGATGATGGCAGGTCAATAAGGAAGCAAGAATACCTAGACTCTAGTAAATTCTCTGTCAGGTGTGGCTTGATCTGAATAATTTTGTGATGGAAGTCAAGTGGGCTAGAACATTGAGGGACCAAAGAGGAGTTGTGTAAAACACAGCCAGGAGGAGGTTGTGCTGGCCTGAGTCATCCGGGGTAAAGCCAGAGAGAACAGTGGGGAGGGACTTGCTTCCCCCTCACGTACTTTCTGCAGAGATGCCCTGAGACCAGAAGGGCTCATGTCAGGGCGTTGGCTTTGGGGTTTTGTTTCTGGGCTGCTGTGTTGTCTTTCTCAGGGAGCACGAGGTCTCTGGGGTGCTGGGATTCCCTCCCTTCCCCTGCTGCTGATGCTCTGAACAGCTCCTGACCCATGAGGAGTGTGCTTCTGGCTCTGGCCTCTTCCCTTCTTGTTGGCCATCCCTTCTGGTGCTTCCTGGGCATCTCAACAGCTACACTCACTGTTCTGGGTCAAGAGAACAGGGACTGTCCATGATGAGTGATCTCCCTGGGGAATCTCAGACCAGCTGCTGCCATCCCTCCTCCTCCCCAACGTGGAGCTTCCCTTGGGCTGGTCCCAGCTGGCCCTTTGGCCAATGAGAGAGCACCTAGAGCTGGAAGGAGCCTCAGCGACTGTCTAGCTGTGTGTGAGTTACAGGGCACTCTGACTGTGCTTTCTGCCTTGAATGTCTCTGGAACTCCTTTAAAAAAATACAAATTTCTTTCATTTCATCATATGCAAGGGAAAAGGTAGTGTGATATGAAGAACAATGTTTTCAGACATAGGAATACCTGAGATCAAGTATTACCTCTGACACTGCTTCTGTAGTGATGGGCTGGTCACTGAAGGTCTGAGCCTTGAGCAACTTTCTTAGACGGGAAAGGGTTGACCTTAGAGTCAGAGGGCTTGGGTTCAAATCCATCCCTGCTACTTGCTGGCTGTTTGGTCAAAGACAAGTCACAATATGGGACCTCGGTTTTCTCCTCTAACAATGAGGGGATTGATCTAGATCAGGGTTCTTATATTTCTAAGGGTCCATAAACATGGATGGGAGAAAAATCACAACTTTATTTTCACTACCTTTTGGTTTTCTTTATATTCTTTTGTATTTCATTTTGTTAATTTGAAACCATGAGTCTGAGAAAGGTCCATAAGCTTCTTCAGACTGACTGCCCAAGAGACTCATGAGATAAGGAAGGTGGAGAGCCAGCAGTCCTGATGATCTCTGGGTTCCTTGCCAGCACTGAATCTGTTACCATATTACCCTATGAATCATGGTCCAAGGTTGGAGTGGCAGAGCATGGGGCACATGGGGCAGACAGTCATCGAATTTGGTGAGAGGATGTAACATGGGTGGAAAGGAGTGGGATGAGATAAGATTTCAGAGGAAGGATGGCTCAAGGGGATGAAGGGGCCTGAACATCAGTTAAAGGACTTTGATCCTGAGATGGTAGGTAATAGTGAGCCCCTGAAGGTTCTTGAGGAGAAGAATGACATGACCAGATCCACGCACAATTCTGATTATTTTCACAGTGGTGCGATGAGGGCATTGGAGGGGCATGAAGAAAGGTAGAGAAACCCAGCCATGCAGGGATGATGGAATCCTCAATTTAGCCATTTAGATATTCTTTAGAGCAAGTCTCTCATTTTATAGATGAAGAGACTAAGGCCTGAAGACAGGAAGAGATTTCACCAAGGTCACGTAGGTAGGGAACATTTGAATACAGGACCCTCTGACCCCAAGTCCCGGGTTCTTTCCCCTGTGCCCTATAGTGTATAATGGACACTATCTTGTCTTCAGTGGCCTGTGGCCTGCTCCTCTCTCTCCATGATCCGTCCTCCTTAGCTCCTGCCATACCTGCTCAAGGAACCAGGAGAGACCATGATCTCAAAGCCTTGCTCTAGCCTTCTCCTCCTCCAGCCAAGCCCAGTTACTGGGACCTGCCTCCTTATAAAAATGTGAGAGCTCACGTCTATGCAACACCTTATGTTTTACAAAGAGTTTTGTATAGATGGTATGATTTGATCCTCCCAACCACTGGGAGGTGGGCATTATTATTCCTATTTTACAGGTGAGGAGCCTAAGGCACAGATGGGTTAAATGACTTGCTAGTAAGTCATGTACCTGAGTCAGAATTTGAACTCGGGTCTTTCTTCAGTCCAACACTAGGCACTATACCATGCCAGGAATAATAAGATCCATTGGGGCTGTCAAGAGACCTTACAAAAAAATCCTACAATGGCCTTCTTTCTCAGGAGCGCACTCAATGTCTTGCATGTCTTCACCACACCTCAGAAATGGCTAGTTGACCTCAGTCTTGTCAACTTCTTGGCCAATCCTGCTGGACTTTACTGGTTACAAGGTTCTCTCAGTATCTTTACACACTCTCCCTCACCCTAAACCTCATAACAGGGACCAAGTGAGGGAGTGAGAACTCTACCAAAAAGGGGGAGAATGTTCAGGAAGCCTCAAATATTTCAAACTTATTTCTCTTTGGAAATTAATCCTTAGACAGCTGGGGAAGGATGACCCAAGTGGGGGAGTCTGGTGAGCCTGCTGAATGTGCCCCAGAGCTTATTCTGGAACACACACCTTACTCAGTGGCCAGGCTGACCTGCCAACTACAGAGAAACCAGGGACAAGGAAAGGCCAGTGTCTGGGCAGTCCTTGGGCCATGAAGGCTCAGTTTCCTAGTGTAACATATCTGTACATATCTGTAACACAACAACATATCTGAGCCAGAGGAGACCTTGAAGAAGATCACCTTGAGCATTCTCATATTGCAAGAGAGGAAACTCCTAAGGAAAGGGGAGAGCCCAAAGGAGGGAATGTGTATGAACTACCCCTATGGGCAAGACACAGTGCCAGGCACAGGGGATGTGATTGTCAATTAAAGACTCTTGGATTTCAACCACGTCTCTTGACTTCTAGCCCAGGACTTTTCCTTCTGCATGCTGCTGCCAATTAATGTATTCCCAATCTCTGCCTTTCCTTTTGTTCCCTTTGGAGTTAAGGTAATGTCTCTAGCCAGTTCTCTCTGACCTTCACCAACATCCTCCTCAAGGTGTAGTGGTGACCCTAGCTTCTGGAAGTCCAGGCCAAGGAAACATAAACTCTCCTAGATCCTGCTAAACTAGAAAGGCTTCAAGGACAGCCTGGGTAATGGACATGGGAGTCTATCATCTCTGGACCAGGCTGCCTCAACCTGGAAAGATTCAGTACCATGTGCTTGGGCTCCAGATGAATGTCTTTGTCAGCCACAGCAACTCAGGAAAGAACTTTCTCCTAAGGACTGGAGAAGCTGTGACCTGCATCAGAGAAAGTAGTGTCCATGCCAATGAAATCACAGGTTCTTGGCCTCATCTTCCAGGGCCTCTGACCTTGCCATAGTCTTACAGAGGCTACTTCCAAACCACATACTTGATTGGAAGGGTAAGAAAAAGGACCAAACAGTCATTTTCTGTCTATTTTCTGCGCAGGGTCACTATCCAAACCTACCATCAGCAGCACCAACATGGCCCCAGTGGAGAACAAGGACAATGTCTCCTTGACATGCCAGTCTGAGAGTCAAGAAGTCACATACCTGGTTTGGTCCATAAACCAAAGCTCGCCAGCTGGTGACAGGATAGTGCTGTCCCCGGATAACAGGACACTCACTATAATCAATGTCACAAGGGAAGACCAAGGACCCTATGAGTGTGAAATCCAGAACCCAGTTAGTGTCAATAGGAGTGACCCATTCACACTGAATATTGTCTGTGAGTAAATTCTCTTTCTACATGGTGCATGCTTATAGCCTAGTGGTGTGTTCCCAGAGGTCAGACTAATTCAGTCACTTGCCTGAGTGCTGAAGATCAGATCTCCGAGATTCCAATCTCTCTTGATTTTAGAGCCTAGAGTGGCCATGTCATGCTTTCCCATCTATGATGAAGGAGGGCCAGCCATGGTGCTGGGTTAGGGGAGGACTTAAGACCTTCCTAGTTCAGGGACCTCAGGTCCAAACCTGTAAAGTGGAGGATGAGCTGTGAATTTACCAGTTCAGAGGAGGGTCAAGGAGATACAATGGTCCCTGGTGATGGGTTACAGAATAGGAAATTCACCTTCTCTCTTCCTTTATCTCAATATGGACTCATTCTCTTTACTCCAGATGGCCCGGATACCCCCGTGATTGTCCCCACAGACCCTAATTATCCCGTAGGGGCAAATCTTGAGCTGTTGTGCTCTGGTGACTCTAACCCACCTGCCCAGTACACTTGGTTTTTCAATGGAATACTGACGGTGTCCACACCCCAGCTCTCTATTCTTAATGTGTCGCTGAATCACACTGGAACCTATTCTTGTATTGCATCTAACTCAGTCACTGGCCTGTCTAGCAGCAAAGACATCAATATCACAGTCTCTGGTGAGTAGCTGCACCTGGCCCTCAGTCTTTTGCTGGGCTCTCCCCTTCCCGGCATGAAAGAAACAAAGATTAGTGACATTCTGTCCTTCTGGGTCTCATGGCACTATGTGTTGTGGTGGAAGGAGCTCTGAGCTCAGAAGCATGAAACATGGGCTAGAAACCTTACTCTGTCATCTATTTGTGCACCCCCAGGTGCCCTTCCTCCTTTCTGAGCCTCAGTTTCTTCATCTGGAAAATTGGTTAATCCTTCCCTGCCCATAGCACACGATTCTATGTAGAGAAAGTTCTTTTTACATTTTAGGTAGAAAAAGCATGTGAGTTGTTATTGTTGTTTTTCTCATTCTCATTTTCATTCTCTTCTATCCCAGAGACATACAGCCCTCTCTCTCCACCAAGCCCTAGGGCCACAGCTTCAATGACTGCCCCTGGACCCTGTGGTCTTTCCTTCAGCCCATCTCACTTGGTGCTATGGGCCCACATGGGAGTCTTGGTTGGAATATAAGCTATGATGGTGTAATAGGGCTGGCTTTGGTCCCCTTTTTCAGGAAAACTCAGAAGATGAGAAGGGGAATTTAAACTTTGTCTCCTTTCATATGCAGAGACTCACCTCTGCATCTGTATGTTCCCCCTTTGTGACATGAAATATCACACAGAGCCATGCCTGATAGGAAACTGGGCTAAAGGGTGCAATAGCCTTACCATCAGGGGGCTGGGGCTGGCATCTCACCGCTGCCTCAGTTTCCTGTTCTGGTAGCTCACTTGGCACTCCACACGTTCTCTGTGGACAGTGGCTTCTGGGTGGTTACTGTGTCTCGTGGGTACAGATGACAGACCCTCTGCATTCCCAATCACACTGGTGTGCAGCTAGACCCTAGAGGGATCCTCTGTGGCCCCAGAGTTTTCTTTTCTTTCTCAGCCATGTTAACAACTCTGGCAAAATCGGTGGAGTTTTGTCGTTGCAAACCCACAACTTCCTGGCCCTGACTCTGTGGCAGGAGGAATGGAAAGCAGGAGAAAGAGGTGGAATTGTGGGCTGGGGATTTGACCCTGGGAAAGTCAGACTGCAGTAGGATATGTCTTGGAAGAGGCATGACTTTTCTTGGCCTAAATCTGTACAGAAGGATCCCTAAGCCCCACATATTGACTTAGTTTTTAAATGTAATATTATCTTTGCATTATTATATTTTTATTTCTCTTGCTAAAAATTTCCCAATTGCATTTTAATCCAGTTCAGACCACACTTGAGAGTGTAGCAGGAATTCATTTGGTACCTGTGGCTTGAATTATCTTTTTCTTAATTTAATTTATATTTATATAAATTACATAATATATTATATAAATATATATATTGCATTTTTAACTTTAATTAATACTCACTTAATTCTGCATCAGTTCATACAAATCTTCTGAAGTTTCTGTTCTTGACCTTGTCCTGGTAGATGTTCTTATCAATGAGATAATATATGTAACTAGCTATGTATATGGTGACTCTTATTCTAATAATTATACAGACTGAAAGCACAATTTTGAAATTTAAGAAAGAAGGAAAAGCTAAGATGAAGGTGACTATGTGCATGGACCAATAGGATCCAAAAGTCTCTCAGCAAGCTGGTACACTTGGTGTGATCAGAATTATTGGAGATTAATATCAGGTCCTGCCTTTGGGTTCCAAAAGTCCAAAGCATAAATAAACATGGGTCCAGATGGGGAAATTACTAGTCACCAAGACATAGGAAAAACAGTTAAAGTAAGTAAGGATGGTTGGCTTAGAGAAGAGAGGATTGGGGGCAGACAGGATACTTGACTTTTGAATACAATGCTAGATTGCCTAAAAAGAGGCCGAGCTCCTATGATAGATGGGTTCATCACAGAAACCCAGAATCCAATGTTGAGACAGAAGCTCTTCTTAAAAAGACCTGGAGGGTCTGAGTGGACTGCAAGCTTAATACTTGAGTAATGGGGTGATAAGGCAGCCAAAAAAACTAATGTAATTGAAGCACATCCACTTCCAAGAACAAGTAGAGAACAGTCCTTCTGGATCATCCAGTGGCACTCAGAGTATTGCATTTGGTTCTAGATGACACAGTTTACAAAGGACACTGAGACACTGGAGAGTGTCCAGAGGAAGGCAACCAGATTGGTGAAGGGCCTGCTGCCCATGTGATTGGTGGGTCAGCTGAGGGAACTTAGGTTATCCTGGGAAAGAGAAGGCTTGGGGGAGACACATGATAGCAATTTGCTGGACTCTTTGGGGGAAGGGGAATTAGATGTGTTCCATCTGGCCTCAGAGAAGAGAACCAGGAGCATACAGAAGCAAATAGAGACAGAGCAGAATGGCCTTGAAGGTCCCATACAACTGAACTTTCTGGGCTTCAGTGGAAAACTCTCTCATGGCCAGAACTGTCCCAAAGTAGAATGGTTTCATGGAGAGTTGGTAGGTTCAAATGAGATCATATGTGTAAAGCACCTAGCACAGTGCCTAGCACACAGTAGTCACTTAATAAATGCTCCTTACCTTGCCCATCCTTCCTTTCCTCCTCTTTGGAGGCTGGATGAGCATCTGTCAAGTAGAATGTACCAAAGATTCTGTTTCAGGCGGGCGTTGGACTTGATGGTCACCAAAGTCCCGTCAACTCCAAAATCCCGTGGTTCTGTCTCTAAGTCTTTTTGTCGTTATCAAGCAGAAAGGATTTGTCTTGTTGTACTTCACCCCAGAGAAAAGAACTAAGAGCAGTAAATCGAGGGTGCAGAGAGGTAGAATCAGGCTAATTGTCAGAGCAAACTCCCTAACCATTGTTAGAGTGTTCCAGACCAGGAATGGGTTGCCTTAGCAGATACAGGGCTTGTCTTCAGTAGAGGTCTCTAAAGACTAGATTGGATTGGCCTAAATGAACCTCTCTTCCAGATCTTGAGATGCTCTGGGATTCACTGAATATAGAAAGCTCAATACAAGGCCTGAGAACAATTGGTGTGGAAAAGATTCAGGGATTGGTTGGACTAAGAGCTAACTTGACCTTGGGTTGCTGTAATAGCAGCATGTTGTCCAGATCCAGGGAGGCAGGAGTCCTTCTGGGCTCTGGGAAGGACAGGCCCCCCCAGAACAAATGCTGTATTTAGTTCTGAGCACCTCAAGTTAAGATGGACATGGACAAAAGCCCAGTCATGAAGCTGATCTTCAATGTCTCATTGAGCCAGGAAGGTGGCCCAGGGTTCTCATATGCAAGGTATGGCAGGAGAGACCCCCAGGAGGCCAGTTTGTCCATCATCAAAGGACTTGGTTTTTGCCAAGTGAGCAGAGGCCCATCACTCCAAGCTTGGATACAAGGAGATGGATTCTTCAGGGTCAGGTTCATGATGTCCATTTGCTAGGGGTAGAGGAACAGAGAACTATGGGTGGAGGGAAGACCTCCTACAAATCATAGCTATTTGAAACATTAGAGCATCCACCCACAGGAGTGTGGTGACTCAGTCATGGCTGGAGGGATTGGTCAGAGTGGGGAGGGCACAAGAAAGCAGTCCTCAGGACCCTGAAGGGCCCTTGTGTGGTAGCAGGTCAGCATTCTCCTATCTGGTTCCCAAGGGGAGAGCTAGGAATCAAGCGAGGAAGTCACAGGGAGGCCAACGTCACATAGCATAAGGAGACCTCACAAGCGGAGCTGTCCATCAGGGAAAGACAGGCCTGAACAGTGTTAAGGTCATGGATAAGTAGAGGCCAGATGACCACTGATCAGGCATGCTATGGGAAATGGGCCAGATGCCCCCTGCCATCTCTGGTTCTCTGCTGCTCAGACAGGGGAACACTGCTGGACTGTGGGTCTCATCCCACACAAGGCTACTGAGCCCTTAGAGGATGCTGCAGAATCTCTGCTGGGCCAGAGAGCATCTGCTGACCTCTTTGTGTCCCCAGTGGTCAAAGGAGGAGCAACAGCTGGACAGGGGGAGGAGGAAGGAAACAGGCATTTATTGAGTGCCTACTGCATGCAAGTAGCACACTAAGCTCTTTACAAATGTCATCTCATTTGATCAGGGGTAGTGCATAAGGCTCAAATCTGCAGGGACCCTGTGGGAACATAAGCTTCTCACACCCCAAGCAAGGCCCTGTTGGTGTCCCAGGTTTCCCCATTAGATGCCCTGTCTATGCACCTCTCCAGGGGAGTTTTGTGCAAGGGAGCACTGCCTCCACCATCTAACGGGGAGCCCAACCCTAGCAGGGGCTCTGACGTTGGAAGAAGGAAGCTGTGTCTGTCAGTGAAGCTCTGTGGGGGCCTCCAGGGTACCCACCGAGGCACTTGAGGAAGGGGCTGCACAAAGGAAAGTACTCTGAGCTCAGGCTTGTCCCTCTGCCAGTCATTCCCACGTTTATAGGAAAACAACATCCTGCAGAGAGAGTATTTGACTGAAGGGAGCCTGACTTCAGAGCTAGGACACCTGGGTTCCAACCCCAGGTCTGTTATTTATTATGCAATGGACTTTGTATAAGTCACCTGGCCTCTGGGAGCCTCCATTTTTCTCATCAAGAAAATAAGGGGGTGGGGGAAGCTAGGTGGTGCAGTGGATAGAGCACCAGCCCTGGATTCAGGAGAACCTGAGTTCAAATCCAGCCTCGGACACATAACACTTACTAGCTGTGTGACCCTGCGCAAGTCACTTAACTCTCGTTGCCCAGCCAAAAAGAAGAAAAGAAAAGAAGGGGGTGCATTAGATGATGGGGAAGGCTCTTCCAGATGGAGACCCAAGATCCTCTGATCTCTGCCAGCTCTGAGCCTTCAGGTGCCTGGTCTGGGAAAGGCCCACGAGGACCATTGGGCAAAGAGGGAGGGAGCTCAGGTGCAGGAATAGCAGAAGTCACTCTCCGTCTGAGTAATCATATCATCTCTTTGAACCTCCATTTTCTCCTTTGCAAAGTGGGTGCAAGGATCCTGGAGGGTATCACACACTTGGAAATGAAAGGGACTTAGAAGCCAGCTAGTGCTGCTCCCTCATTTTACAGATGGCCAAACTGAGGCCTAGAGGAGGCAAGTGTCAGCTTATGGAGAGAATCATAATATGTTCATTAACTACTTTCTGGAACCACAGACTGGTAGGAGCTGGGTAAATTAAGGGGGTAACTGGGGAAGAGAGAATGATGGGAGCAGGGGGCTTCCCTTTCTTTCATGTCAAAGAGCCCTAGGGCAGTCGGGCTGGTGGAGCCCAAGGACCCCTTCTCGGAAGGATGCTTTTAAATGCAGAAAATAAAGTCCATAGGAATTCGAAGGAAATAATTCTACTGAAATACAGTTATCAGCACTTTTTAAAAATGAAGTTCACAGATCCCAGGCTAAGGACTCCTGGATTAGAATGAGATGATTGGTGAAAGACTGGAAATAGCCTCAATGGATACAGAGGGCACTAGGCCTGGATTCAGACTCAGACACTAAATTTGCTGTGTGACCCTGGACAAGCCACTTAACCACTGTCTGCCTCAGTTTCCTGAACTGTAAAATGGAAAGAATAATAGCCCCTTCTTCCCAAGACGATGAAATTAGATAATATGGTATTTAACACAATGCTTGACAATAACAATAATCATAATAAAGAGGATAATAATAGCATTTGTATAGCACCTACCATGTGCCAGGCATGTAGTAGACACTTTATAAATGCTTGCTCTCTACTCCCATCGTCACCTTAGTCACTAGATTATGCATGTTCCAGAACCTGTCTCAAGGAGGTGTTAGCCCAGGACACAGCACTCCAACTCCTGGGCTTCCTGCTCACCTTCCTTATTAGCTAAACTATTGAACCAGGGGGTATCTCCCTCCCCATGGTGTCAGGGACCATTACTGTACATCTGTAAGCGGAAGTGTTCGGGCTTGGGCTTTGGAAGACTTGACCTAGTGAAGACACAGGCCAATCCCTCACACAACTGAATCTTCTTTTTCCCTCTACAGAAACAGCATCCAAACCTACCATCACTGCCAACAGTACCAACGTCATGGAGAACAGCACTTTGGTCTTCACATGTAACACAGAACATGAGGGGATGAACATTCTGTGGTTCTTCAATAACAAGTCCCTGTCACTAAATGAGGGGCAGTACCTGTCTGATGGTGACCTGATCCTCACCGTCAAGAACGTGACGAGGAAGCATGCTGGGTCCTATCAATGTGAAATCTGGAATCCAATCAGTTCCAACAGAAGTGACCCCCTTGAAGTGACTGTGAACTGTGAGTGACTCTGAGCCTCCTCTCTCTCCAGTCCTTTCCCCAACAATGATTCACACCTCATCTCTCTCTTTCTTCTTTACGCAGATGGACCAGACGATATCCTGTTTTCCCCGAGTCCTGCAGGAGATGAGATTCGGGTCATATTCCAACAGTCACTGACCTTAGTGTGTCAGGTTGAGTCTTACCCACCTGCACAGTATGAGTGGCGAGTCAATGTCACAGTGAGCCCTGAGTTCACCAATAACACCTACATCATCCAAAACGTATCTTGGGAAGATTCAGGACAGTACACATGTTTGGCATGGAACAACGTGACTGAGTTGTCAGTGTCTAAGGCTGTCACAGTCAGGGTGATCGGTAAGTGGTCTCTCCCTTCCTTCAGAGAATAAGCTTTCTGGGTTGGCCAAAGGCGGGGTGACAGGAGGAGGTGCTCAGGCCCATTAAGGTGGGCAGTTTTTCATGGTGAATTGGGAGAGGACATGCAAATAAAGAACCTGATTCTAGGAAATGTGGTCAGGCTTGTAGTGAACGTCAGTCCATTTACCGCTATTTTGTCCTTGGTAAAAATAGAGACCAGCCTCCCTTTGTCCTAAAATAATCTTAGAAACTGTCATGTGCAATACAAGTTCATTCATCACTCAATACATATTTAGGTGCAAACCTTCTACAGAGAACTGTGCCAGGCACAGAAGGAAATACAAGGTTTAGCTAAGATTCCATTCCTATTTTCAGGGACCTTACAATCTTGTAGAAAGATCAGACCTCAAACACAGGTAAATGATATACAATATTACATGATGAGCATACTTAGACTATGGCTATAAAATAAAGTGTCATAGGACACCTGGGGGGGGGGGGAAAGCATTCCAGCTGGGGGTGAGATCAGAACAGGTTTTATAGAAGAGCTAGCATTTGAATTTTATTTTAAAGGATGAGGGTAGTTTAACAGGTCAAAGGGGAGAATATTCTATTTCTATGGAGAGCTAGCCTGAGCCATGGTTCAGAGGTGGGAAACTATAGTATGTGTCTGAGTGCAGAATGTAGAACAATGCAGCCTGAACAGATGCTGCGTGGCCAGGAGAAGTGTTTGAGAGGGCTGCTGCCATTTTGTGACAAGTCTTGTATTCTAGGCTAAGAACACCAAAGGTTACTCAGTAGGTAAAATGGAGTCCCTGAAACCTAATTAGCAGAAAAGAAGAGATGATCACACGTATCTGTTTAGTATGTTATTATTCATCAATATTGAGTAGACCAGTAAGATTGAACCTGATACTCAAGGGTCAGAGTTTGTTTAACGTGACCATTGTCACATCTCTACTTCATTTGTGACTTGGTCCTAACAACCTGAATGGGTAAAAATCTAAGGAATCTAAAGTTCCTTTTCAGCCCCTCAATTCCAAGCAAAACTGACTCAGCTCTAAGCTAAGGTGATGAGAATATAGGAAACTGAGCTGTCAGTGGGCAGAAGTCATTATACAAATGCTTTTATTGAACATTTTTTAAATTGAGAGATAAAGCAAGGCAGCAGAAGGGAGAGGAAAAAGAAGCTCTCTAGACCAGGTCTCCATCACAACCATTCCAACAAAGATCTCAAAAGAGCAAAAGACCCAGGGGAAAACCCAGTGAGTGATTTTTCCTGCCCAGTTCAGCATAGTTACAAAGACCTAAGTCTGGGCACATGGACTAACCAGGAAGGTGACAAGAAGACTAGAGACTAAATGAGGACCCCAGGCTACGAACTTGGGTAATAAGTGGTCAGGGATTCAGCAGAGATGAGCCTGGCACTGGGCAGGAAACAGCAAGAGGAGCCAATAGCCAGCTCTATAGTCTAAGCACAGAGCTAGGTCGCAGAATCAGTGCTGAAGAGGGCACTTGTGCTGAGGGGTGGGAGCAGCTGTCGCCTGAGGCTGTATAGTAAAGGAACTGGAATTTCATCCTCTCTCTGGGTCTGATAGTTGAGTAAGCAGGGCAGAGAACTCAGAACAAGGGGAAGCCTGTAATTCTATACCAACAAAGGCTTTTAGCTAGCTGACAGGAGCTGTGGCTAGCAGCAGTCTACTGGAAACCCAACTAGGGACAAGTCTGCAATGGTGTTGCTAAAACCCAAATCTAAGGCAAGAGCTTTTCAAACTCAGACTAGGAGAGGAGTGATCAGAATTCATTCTAGATAAGATTGCTTTGGTCACACTGAAAGTTAGCAGGTCACCATCCTGAGCCACTCCTTATATCCTTAAATAATACAACACTGAATACCCGGAGAAAGCAGCAACAAGATACTAAAGAATATAAACCGAAACTGAAAATGCCTAATAATAAAATACTAATTCAAGAAGTAAGGCTAGAACAGAGGTGGGGAACCTGTAGCCTTGAGGCCACATGTGACCATCTAAGTCCTTGGGTGCAGCTTTTTGACTGAGTCCAAGTTTTACAGAACAGATCATTTTATTAAGGGGATTTGTTCTGTGAAATCTGGATTCAGTCAGAGGACCACACCTGAGGACCTAGAGTGCCACGTGTGGCCTTGAGGCTGCAGGTTTTCCACCTCTGGGCTAGAATATTGAATAAACCAAAATACTACCATGATAAAAAGCTATCATTGAGACAAGAATGCCCAAAATACAAATCCAAGGGGAAAAGCTACTTGAAAATATCTACAAGCAGAGTCTCAAATAAAAAAATATAGTTTGGGTACAAGGTCAACTAGAATTCTTAGAAAATAATAACAATAATAATAGTTTTCTTAAGAGTTTAAAATTATTTTACAAATAGTTATCATTCATAGCATATAGAACTTTAAAGTTTACAAAACACTTTACAAGTATTACCTCATTTAATCCTCACAAGAACCCCGGGGGGGGGGGCAATGTTATTATTATTCCTATTTAGAAAACTGAGGCAAACAGAGGTTAAGTAGCTTGTCCAAAATCACATAGCTGGTAAATGTCTAAGGCTGGATTTGAATTTAGGGCTTCTTGACTCCAGGTCCAGTACTTGATTCACTCTACCTTCCTAACTATGGAGAAGAGATTTAAAAGGAAAATTGACAGCTTAATACAGGAGGTTCAAAAGTTACTCAAGTAATGGACTCCCTAAAAATTAGAATGAACCAAACAGAAATTAATGAACCCATGAGACAACAAGAAATATGAAAACAAAGTCCAAATACTAAAAATGATGATGATGATGACAATGATATAAGGTATCTCAAAGGAAAAAAAATCTGGAAAATAGATTAAGGAGAAATCTAAAAAAACAACCAAAGAAAATGAGTTTGGAATCATTTTTTTAAGAAATCATGGAAGAAAACTGTAGAGAGTCACTAGAACCAGAAGGCAAGGTGAAAATGGAAAAAATTCTCCTCTTGAAAAAAATCCTAAATGAAAACTCTCAGGTACATAGTAGCCAAAATCCTGAGCTTCCAGGTCAAAGAAAAAAATACTGTGACTATTTAAAAAGAAAGCATTCAAGTACCAAGGAGTCACAGTAAGGGTCACATGAAATGTAGCAGCTATAACCATAAAGGAGTGGGGATATTGGAATATGATATTACAAAAGGCAAATTATAGACTTACAATCAAGAATAATATACTTAACAAAATTAAGCATAATCCTGCAGTGGGAGAAATGGACCTTTAGTGAAGCAAAAGCCTTCCAAACATTTCCCTCTCTCACTTCCCACTTCTTTATAGGGGAAAGAGTGAGGAATGAGACGAAAAAGTATAAGAGAACAAGATGAAGGAAAACACACAATAATTATAACTGTGAATATAAACTATAGTAACTCACCCATAAAACAGAAGAGGTTAACAAAGTGGATTAGAAAGCAAAAAATAAACAATCTATAGTCTATAAAGAACACATTTTAAACATAAAGATTCACAGAGTTAAAATTAAGGGTCTAGAGCAAAATCTACTATGCTTCAGCCTACCTCAAAAAAACATAGTAGTAATCATGATCTGAGACAAGCTAACAGCAAAACGGACTTGATTTTAAAAAAATAAACAGAGAAACTGAATTATGCTGAAAGGTACCACAGACAATGAACTATTGCATGAATATGACAACGAATTTGCACCAAGTCACAACATTTAAATACTTAAAGGAGAAGCTGATGTGATCACTCTCTGGTGATTATTGAATAGGAATGGGAAAGAATATATATATTTCTCAGCTGTGTGTGTGACACTTTTACAAAAACTGACCATGCCTTTAAGGCATTAAAAACCTCACAAATAAATTTTAAAAAATTAAATATATCTTATACTGATCACAATAAAATAAAAATTATATTTAGTAAGGAACCTTGGAGAAAAATATTGAAAATGATCAACTAAATGATAAACTTAGTTCTAAAGAACTGGCTGATGAAGGACTGTTTTGTCATTTCTCCTCTTGTCCAGAGTAAGTGATCCCTACCATCACTGACAATGCATGGAGTACTTCAGATACAAAGATAGAGGAAACAAATTGGAAGAAAGACTAGGAGCAGGAAGAATAGGAAGGAGGCTATTGAAAAAATTCAGATGGAAAATGATGAGGGCTTGGATTTGAGCAGGGTAGTGGGGAGAGAGAGAAAGGTAAACTCACAGGATATAAAGCTGGGATGTGTATTGCAGTTAGATCATCTAGTGCATACTGCATTATTTTGTTGATTGGGAAAATGATATCCAGAGATGAGAAAGAACTTGGCCAAGATCCCATTGTGCACAAGTAACAGGACCAGGATTCTAATCTAGGTCTCCAGATTCCAAACCCCAAGCTCTTCCTGTTCCATTGCACTGCCTTCCCAGGATAAATGTGAGAGACACTCATTTAAAGGTTTTTGAGGAGAAGAGTGACATCATCAGGATGGTATTTTTGAAAGATTTCATTTGGACAGTGGTAAAAAGGATGAATTAA